CTAAACTGCGCTGTTAATATGAGCCTACAGACAAGGTAGAGAACTAGAAAAAGGCAAGAAGAAACCATCGGTGGGAAAGGGCTTAGGAAGCATAAATTCATTTTGCTAAGGGACAGGGAGAGTAAGATAAGAGACTCCTTTGGAGAAAGGCTGATAATGTGCTAGAAGGAAAAAAAAAATATTTGCAGTTGAATCAGGAATTGAGGTATGAAGTTTTGACTGATGGACAAAAGGAACAAAATTTGTGTTAGAGGAGAATGTGTAGTTAAGGAAAAATTGACTGGAAGAGTGGAGTAGGAGAGAAAAAGTTTGAGGACAGGCAAAGTGCAAAGGTTCTGTTGGAACACAATCAGACATTTTTGGTGAAAAAAAACCCAAAACAAAATAGGCCTGAGAATTCATGGGATCTGAACAGAGTGAGAAGACTGTTAGCAGAAAACGATGGAGCTGGTTTCAGAAGCAACTGGAATGATGGCATGTAGATGTTGGAAATTCATCGGAATAAAGTAGAAAAGATAGAAGCTGAGGCAATTGCTGGAAAACAAGAAAGAAATGGAGAAGACAAAGAAAATAGCAGCCTGAGAGAGAGAAAATTTGGTTAAGCTTCCTGTTCTTAGCAGGACAGCTTTGGGAGAAAAACAATCTGGGAGTGATTTGGGAAAAGGAAGACATGACAGGGACACTATATGAAAAGAATAGTCAATGGGGAAGACAGTGCAGAAGTAGAATATTTTTATGCACATATACACTCCCCATAAAGGGAGTGGTGTTTAAATGGAATGAAGAAGAATGCACAGGACTTGAGAGGGAAACTACTGGGAGACAAAAAATTGGGAATGTGGGATTTATAGAGGAAAAGAAAAATTAATAATGTAGGCAGACAAATATACGGCAAGTAACCAGATAGGGAAGAACAAGTCGATGGAAATAAGAAAGTAAGAGCGGCAGTAAATGTCATTGTTCTAGTGCTTAGTAAGAGGTCTGGTAACAAAACAGTATATAAAAGTCAAACATTATCTTTGTATGGTACCTTTTTGTGTGGGATGAGGGGGTCTTGGGAAACCGGATTGGGAGCTAGGCATAGGCATCTAGTGAACCTACAATATGTATGGAGAAGAGGATAATCTGCTTTATTATTATTTTAAACAGAAACAAGAAAGAAAACATTTAAAACCAGTGACTACACCAGCTCCTAATAACTTAGTGTCTGTATCTTAAAAAATATGAGACCTGTAATTGGATTGTTGATTATAATAATTTGTTACCATTTTATGGATATTCCAGCAAACTGTTATCTACCCAGTGTTTTAAAATACCCAAACCCATCCCTAAAATATCTTGTATTGCTTCTTTTTATAGTATCATATTCAAATTTATTTTTATTATCTCTCTTATTTTACAAAAGACTTTTACATGAACTAAAAGTGAGTCTGAATGAGTGCTGTATGATGAATAATAGAACAGAACATACCGCTCTTATTGACAAATGCAATTATTTTTACACTTAAATTAGTCCTATTCCTTACTCACAAAGGTGATAGTTAAAAATATCAACATTAAATATAACTTCAAGTTGACAGGTATCCTTTTATTTACATTAAATAGTAGAGAAAAATCTTTATTTTTAATTATGATTTCCTTGTGTAATATTGTCTTAAATGCTGAGAATACACTTGGTATTTCAATTATTTCACTTCCCCACAGAACGCTGCAGCTTTCCTACTTTTGTTTGCTTAGGTACAGAACTGCATAGCATGCTTAATACAGTAAGTTGAAGAAAAAAAAAGACTGTGCATAAAGAGACTATTACCCCAGACATGCTTTGATATCAAGATAAAGATATATTTCTGAGGGGAATAAGAAAGGCATAAGTATTTCCCTGGTATTTTCTCCCACCTGAAACATGAAAGAGATAGTATGATATTTTTTATTATGGAATACACTGTATATTCTATATAATAATTTTTCTATAGTGCATACTAGAGTATAGAAAATATAATTTAAAGATAAAATGCAACAATGTAATTGAAATTTTGCAAAATTGATTGCAAAATTGGGTCTTTGCTGCCCCAGTGGAAATTCAAAAAAGTGTTGGAAAAATCCCAGTTTCACTCGTTGGAAAGCTTTTGTAGAGTTTTGCAGCTAAATTCTCCAAAGACTCCATCTGTACTGAGCATGCTTTATCCTGGTGCTGCAAGAATGAAGCAGTTCTTTCCCTGCAACTCTCTCCCCTCATTCCTGCAAACGATTGCCGTGCTAAACATTGAGATAAGAACAGAGAAATTGTCTTTGCTTTTCTCTCAGTGCTTCTCTCCCTGATATCCAGACAGATGCAAAAGAAACAGAATGTGTGCTGACAGCAGGAGGGAACGTGAGCTTGATGGGGAGGTGAGGGGAAGCAGAGAATACAGACAGGGATGTGGTACCAAACAGGAGAGGCTGGTAACGAGGAATGCTAATGCAGCACGGACTCTCCAAATGGCTGGACAAGAGGAAGAAGCAACAGGGTCAGAGAGTCACAGGGGTTACTGAGATGAGAAAGAGCTTTCAATTAAAGAAATAATCAAGGTGGCATGAAACTGAGTTCAGAAGAGAGCACTAGAAGAACGTGAAGTTGGGAAAA